CATATGTACGTACATACTACTGTATATACACACGTTTTGTACCTAAAGGTGAGAGTATATGTGGAACCTAGCCAGAATATTATAGGAAACATGAAGTTTACTATACTCAATTATTTAGGAGATATTTTATTTGATATTTGATTTGAATTTTTGAGAGGTTAAAATTTATTGGTTCACCTAAATGATTTACAAGCTGTGGGGCGCGGTATGCAATTAGGGCTCTACCATATCCTAGGGCTCTACCTGGACGAGTTTGAAATTTGCGACAATCTAAGGGTCGTGGTCCGTGGGGCTTGTTGCTGGCAGCGGCACGGTGGGAACTTTCCGTCGGAGTTGCAGCAGGTGCTGCCCTTGAAGCCCTTGTAGTCACTGTTTGCTGAGTTGTCTAATGCGCATGCTTCCTCTTATGCTTCCTCAGGTGGTTGTCCAGTCCCTTCCTGGAGGTGAGGGTGACCGGACACTCTGGGCATTTGTGCCTGTAGAGGTCAAGGGGCGAGAGCTCGTGTGCCCCTCTCGTGAAGCAGGGTTGGCGTGTAGGGTGGAGACCAAGGCCGGCAGTGGAGCAGAAGGTGCAGGTGTAGGTCACCTTCGCCCTCATCTCATGCTTGTCTAGAAGGTGCCTTACTAGGCTCTGATGCCTGCTCGTCCAGGAGACCCCGTAGTACCATAGATGCTTGTGTGGTCAGCATCATAGCGAGAGGCATATTGGTGCATATTTTAGCAGCCGGTTAGAAGGGGGTGACTGGGAAGCGCAGCTTGCCTTTTTGTAGCAGGAAAAACCTTGTGTGCCACCGGCGAAGGAATTTATCCTCGCCGCCAGCGTCGAGGTCATCAGACAAGTACTGCCACAACATCAAGCGTATCAGCGGTGACTGCGGGGAAGGCAGGCGTGCTGGCTTATGCCTTGCTTTTGCGATGCAGCACTGGTTCTAGAGCACGAACAGCATGCATGCTACGACCAGTTTGACGAATGCGCCTCTGTTGCTGGCCAGGGCTGGAGGGGGTCGCATGTGAAATTCCCCCGCCACTAACCGCCACACCGGTTTCGCTGTGGGGCACTCGTGCAGGGCGTATGCTAGGGTTTCGATGGAGCGGCAATTGGGACAGCGGGGGGAGGGTACGATGCCTAGCCTGTGAAGGCGCTGGCGGGTTTGTAGAATGTCCCAATTCTTCCTCCACGTGAAGTCTTCTACTGGCTTGGGAATTCTCCTCCCACCTTTACGTGCGTTCCGTTGCCATTTTTTGGACCGCCTGCTCTATTCATGCGTAAGCTGGTGCTGCGCGATGTCCTCCGCGATGCGATTTGGTGGGGTTTTTATCGATGTCGTATTCGGGGGATCTTTCTCTAGCATCCGCATCGTGTTAGCGGCGCCCTTGTAAAAGCGCGAGGGTGCTGCCGCGAGCGGTGCGAGGGGACGATCCGCATTCAGGAAGGCAGCGTTTGTGATGCACCAGTAGCGCATGATGTCCCTCCCTACGTATTCTGTTCATTGAAACAATGCCCTAGCCGTTTTCAAGGCCAGCACCTTGCTAGTAGAGGGTGGGTGGGATAATCCGAGACCTCCCTCGTCCGTCAAGAGGTGCAGCAGAGTGCGTCGGATGGGCGCGGCTTTGCCGTATCATAAAAAGGCACCGATCATTTTCATCAGCCTCGCCGCCGTCTTGGCGGGCATCACCGCGACTCGACTGGTGTAGTACACAAAGGTGCAAATGGAGGTCGTCGCCGCCAGGGCTTTTTCACGTAATGACATGACTTTGGGACTCAGGTGCTCTATTGCGGCTTGTGGGCATTTTACCGGCCGCTGCCATGTTCTATCCGCCACGCCGCCGCCAGAAAAGTAAATGCCTAGCACCTTGATGATGTCCACTGCACACAGCTCCCCCAGGGAATCAGGGGGGAAGGCGCCAAAGGTGATGAATTCGCTTGTTTTGTATTGAGTTTTTGCGCCCCAGGCATCCGCGCAGAGTGCGAATGTCTCCCAGAAGGCATGTAAACTTGCCGGGTCACGGAATAACAACGAAACGTCGTCCGCATAGGAGAGCACTTCGATTGTGGCCTCCCCCTTAGTGGAAGGCCCCTGAAGCAGTCGTTGTTCACGATGCTTGTCAGCAGCGGCTCAAGCGAGAGTATGAAGAGGGTGGGCCCAAGTGGGCATCCCTGGCGGATACCTCTCTCGTACACGAAGTTGGACAAAGGGTCACCATTCGCGGCTACGTAGCACGACAGGTCACTGTACACCAGGGCGATGCTCTTTACAAAATGGGCGGGGAAACCGAATTGGCGTTCCAGCATTACTTGCACTCGATTGAGCATGTATTCGATCGAAGGCCTTCGCTTGCTTCAGTGATATGAAGGTGCCCGACAGAGATTTGGCAGTGAATTATTCAAAAGCGTCTTGTGTGACCGTCAAGTTTGCGAAAATTGAGTGGCCCAGCACTGCGCAAATCTGTTGTGCTGAGACTATGGTCTTTAGTAATGGTTTAAGGTGGTTATTCAGCAGGGAAGCCACTGTCTTGTAATCAACGTCACAAGGGTGACTGGACGCCAGGCCAACAGCTCCTCCTGCTGGGCGCCCTCCTTGAGGAGGAGGACGATTCTCTCTTCGCTGAAGGATGCTGGTTTCCGGTGGTGGGTAAGACCATGTTAACCATGATTAGGAGGGCGTTCTCCAGTTCATTCCAAAAAATGGAATAAAGGAAGCTGTGAGTCCGTCCGTGCCAGGGGACGAGTTTGGTGGTATGTTTGTGATAGTGGTTCTGACTTTTTTTGCTGTTGCCTCATTGACCAACCTTTCAGTTTCGTCCTGCTCTAAGCGCGCAAGGTTATGACAGAGCTCTTCAATCAGTTGCTCCCCGTCTAGAGAGCCAGCGCGGTCTGTATCACGAAAGAGGGCAGCGAAGTAGTCCCGGAAGGTCCTGCCCATTTCTCTGGGTCAGTGGCGAAGGAGTTCTCTGGGCGCCGTACCCGCGTGATGGGAACACGGCTGTTCCCGGTCACCTCATTGGGGCTTGGTCGTTGGGTGGCCTCCGCATGCCTTGTATGAGTAGCCTGGTATGTTCGCCCTCCAGGGCAGCGAGGTAGCTCCGTGTACTGTCCGTTAAGGTGCCCGCCCCCCTGACGATACGAATGCTGCGTAGCGTCTCATTCAGCCTGTCTGTAACCCTGCGCTTCCGGGCTTTGCCCTAGACCTGGACTATTGTCTTACACTCCACTTTCAATGCTTTCCATGATTCTGGGGTCACTTCTGTGACGTTCCACACTGAGGCCTGAATGCGCTCTCTGATTCACCTGACCGAGTCGAGCTGCCAGCCCTGATTACCGCTGTGGGTTCCGGGGCAACACCTCATTGTGGTGACGAGTGGTATGTGGGCCAATCGGTTTGCGAGGATGGCAGGGGGAGAAAGAACCACACACGCATCCACCGAGGAAAGCAGGAATTCGGGCAGGTAGGTCCAGTTGATATGAGTGGCAGTGAGCTGTGAGGAGCGCGTTGGAACGAAAAGGTCGCCGAGAACGTGAAGCCAAACATCTGTTAGAAACAGGTGCCTTAAGATCCCCACGAGCTCCTTCACGAGCGGCGACCGAAAGTTTGTCTCCTGGATGAACAGGACTTCGATTCCCTGAGCATGGGCGAAGGCTAGGACGCTTTCCTGTTTCGCTCTGTCCCAGAGGCTCTGACGTTTCAAGATGCAGTTTTAAGACGAGACATAACCTGATGTTGTATGTGCGGGGGGGGGGGGGGGTGAGCCATAGCGGGATCGCAAAACAGCCACGAGCGCTAAACGCATGCCTTAGCTGGGGGGGGGGGGAGGCTTGCAAGTTCCTTGTAAGTTCCGCCACGTCGGAACTTGCAAGGCATATGTTGCGTGCGCTGAAGAAGCCAATGGCAGCACCTTTTCGCCGATGATTGTGGTCGTATTTGCAGAGGTCTTGCCTGGGCAGCCATTTTAGATGTATTGTTAGATGGGTGACGTAATCGCGTTTCGTACAGTCATTTTTTTCCTGCATGCTTTGATGCACGAGTTTGAATTGTAGACCTTGCATAAGTTTAAAAAGAAGTTCAGTAGCATCTTCGTCACGTGCATGATAATGTGCGCCGGCAAGCATTTTTTGTGACGTCATGGGCGTAATGGAGAGTCCGCCTGCAAGCAATGAAGCATGGCTTCGACGTCAGGGAAGAGAAGGTTTCAGATTTAACATGTTTGTAAACGAAACAAGAAACATCAAGCGGACAGAGCGCTTCTCGGCCTTTTGGCTAAGATCAAACTCGCATCTCGGCCTTTTGGCTAAGATCAAAGTGCCCCTCGCGATTACATGTGCTTCGCCCTCAGGCAGGGATTGGATGCCCCGTCATCTTGACGGTTGCCCCGTCCTCTTTTTCAATCTTTTACTTTTCCACTCTCTTCTCTTTTATGATTCCTTCTTGCAGTTGCGCTGCGTCCAAGACGTGCTCCTCAGGGAGCTAACTGATCAGTTGCACCGCCATTTACCTGTTCATCCCCAGTCCTGAGGTTAGGTCCTGCTTCTATGGCTCGATACTGTTCCACACCTGAACGCCTGGCCTATTCAGGCGGGCTGTCTGCTGTCTTTGAACCCGCGGTGGCCTGTGCCTTTGGGATTTCGTGGGTAGTCTCACTTTGGGGTGCGGCAGCGGGGGAGCGACGCCCCGTGTTGGGTTAAAGGTTTACCCCACTACACCACTGTATTGATCTATGTGTTCAGGGGCCGCTTATTAGCTGGCGGGTGGTCACCAAGAGAACACTCCCGACAAAGCTCATGGTTGCCGGACCCTAGGTGGACGTGCTACTCCGCCCCTGTTTTTCCGGCCTCTGTCAAGGCAGCTCCTCCGTGGCTCTACGGCATGACGACTGGCCAAGCTCTTAGGCAAGGAAGGGTGGATGCTTGAGCAGCCGGTAGAGCGCTGAACCCTTTTGGTCTGGCCCTTTGTTCCCGGAAAGTCCTAGCGGCCTTCGGTCGGGCCAGCAAGGCCAAGACTACCATTTCCTCTATGTGTTGCCGCTTTTGATAACCACTCTCTGTTCTAATTAGCTTACTTGTGTTACGAATTCTATTTGTATTCAAGATATTAACCTTATTTTTACAAAACGGAGCAAAGCTTGAAGCTTTCTTCAACTCCGCCACGGGTTGGCCCGATATTGCACGATCTTCAGGCTCAGCTCACTCGCCCCTGCGGGGGCGATTACAATACTATTCTCAATAAAAAGGTCGTGTCTGGATTCACCAAAGATATTGGGGTAAACCGCGACGGGGCGGTGACTATCCGAAGCCTTGGTGTCACGCCGCCCCAGATGACGCGGTATTTGCCGCCTTTCGCCCGCGTGCGGAAGTGCGCTAGCTATGTTCACACTTACAATTGCTTTGGAAAAGTAAATCTTTGTGTGGTAAGTGTATATTCGGGAGCCCTCTTTTTTCTGTTAACGCAAACAATCTCCAAGTTTTCTTTCTCTATCCCAATTATTAAAGAAATAAAGTAGTTTCTTATTGCTCTTTCAAAAGAAATCTGAAACTGTATGTGACAGTACAGCCTTGTTTCGCTATTTCCACTTTTGTAGTTTGCGCATTTCAGAAAAAAAAACGAAACAGCTTCTATTGCGTGTTGGTGTTTCTGTTTACAGTTGCAGTGACAAGCGGAGGCATTTTTATTTCACGTCTTCACGAAACGTCTTACCCGGAATTGGTGTACTCTCACGACGTCTTCACATGTACAGTGTTCTTAATCACAAAATAAAATCGCGAGGAACAGCAGAAGGCGCACCCCGCACGCACCTTCAGCGCGGTGGAGCGGCAAAGCCCCGACGTGCGTGCGCCCGGGTGCTCTTCTTGCGTCCAACGACCTGGGTCCCAGCTTGCGCTAGCGGTTGCTGTAACTCGTTGTATTGCGGTTAGTTACCTCGATGGCGCACTCGGCCATCACCTTGTTGATCACACAGTACACGTCTGGACATCATCTCGAGCATACCAACTTATCGGTTGTTGGTTCTCATTATTTACAATCACCATCCTCGCATGCTGCCTGAATGGAACGGCCACTTGCAGGAAGTAGCAAGAGAACTGTGCACTATACATACGGACGCATGACACACGTACCTGAAGTGAAGTGGAAACCAGGACGTGTGAGATAGTGACTCGGGCGCGCTTCCTTATGCTTTGCTTCTGTACCCTCTGGGGACTCCTCACAGCTTTACAAAGCCGAATATGTAAAAGGCGATAAAGCGGAACAACAAAGCGGCATATCCCCCCAATTGTTGTGAGCCACAAGTGAAGGTCAACAAAAACAGGCAATACAATCGAGCGCAGTGACGAAGCAGTGGATCAGCGGTATCGTAGTACGGCAATATAATCCCTGAATATGGCGACACGTTGCCGTACGGTTGCATTTGTGCAACCACGCGCCTCCCGAAGACGGTCTGTCACGAGGTTACTCGCACCTTACTCAATGGCATTCGACGAAAAGCGCAGGCGAGTACTTCCCCACTGATTCCCGCGACCACTTGACGACCGCCTTCTACCACCTTCTACCGCCTCTTGCAGGGCTCAATCGACGGAGCACCACGATGGCGCCTCGTACACGCCACCAAATCACTGCTACCCCTCGGAATCCGAAAACCTGGACATTTCAGACCAAAGGCAGAGCCTGTAGCAGGAACCCTTGCACGGCATCGCAGTGTCGTTTCGCACACTCACATTGCTACGCTGTGCCACATGACCCTCCTTAGACAAGCATAACACACGTTGTAGACATTTCACATGGATTCACGGTTGTGCATTTCACGGCAGAACCGTCGTTCACTCTGGTGCGGTGGTCCGCCGCGTTGGAACTTTCAAGGCATACGAGCGTGCAACGAAGAAGCCAATGGGAGACCATTTCGCCGACGACTGTGGTCGTCTTTTCAGAGGCGTTGCTTCGGCAGCCATCATCGAGGTCATGTTAGATGGGTGACGGAATCGCATTTGGTACAGTCATTTTTTTTCCCTCCAGGCTTTGATGCATGAGTTTGAAATGTAGACCTTGCGTATGTTTAAAAAGAAGTGCTGTAGCATCTTTCGTGACGTGCCTGATAATGTGCGCCTGCAAGCATTCATTGTGACGTTATGGGCGTAATCGAGAGTCCGCGTGCAAGCAAGGAAGCATGGCTTCCAGGTATGGGAAACGAATGTTTCAGATTTAACATGTTTGTAAGCAAAACAAAAAAAGCAAGCGGACAGAGTGCTTCTCGGTCTTTTGGCTAAGATCAAAGTGTAGATCAAACAACCATAAGCAGCATCACAGGAGGGATGAGGCACTCCTGGCCAGACAAAATACTACCCCTGGTCCACCAGCAGACACTGCAGCCGGTCCATCAGGACAGTCCTGACGTGCAGGGGGCACCAGGACGTCACAACAGCAGACTCCACTTGGACCGGCTACACCACCACATTCCCCATTTTCGTCAGCGGTTGTCCTCGCGCAAGCCGAAGGCGAGCGCACTCACTCTCCTCTACCCCACGCACCATTACAGGGCCTCTCTTACAGGAGGTCCCACCCTCTGCCCCTCCAGACGGAGATTGGGCTTTGGGAGAGCTGACACATGGAGCGGCGCCCGTGGTGTCGAAGAGTCGGGTGCTACAGCACTCTTCGGACGAAGTGGCTACATTGCACTCTTCGGAGTGGCTACATTGGGAGTGGCTACATTGGGAGCGGCTACAGCGACTACATTTAAAAGCACTTGTCTCACAGCCCTTGGACACAAGGGCGCTGTTGAGGCACTTGTGCTAGTGCCAAGTATTTTTACACGTTTTTATTTTCAAAACCTTTATCACCTTTTTTTGCTATGCATATCACGCCACTATCATGATTTTAATAGTTATGTTTTTACCCACATTATCGCGAGGAATTTTAAGGCCCCTATAGATCCACACAACATATCATTGTTCACATCTTTACTTTAAAATGGCGCTCTTTGGCCATCAATCAGCCCTTGCGCCATAAAGCGCCACACATCATCATCATCACGCCGAGGTGGATTTTGACGCAACTACTGATTGGGCAGCCTTATGTGGTTAACAATGGCTGCCTCTCTGCGGTCCAGGGTGGTCCCGAACCGCGCCCACTCCTCATCAGATACGGGCAAACGGCTTAGTGCCCGCAGCTCCGCCGTCATCTCTGCTAAGACCTAGGCACTCTCTGGTCCCACGGTGTCGGCTGCTTCCTCTTGGGTGCCGTACGTGCTGTTGCTGCGCTTGTCGACTCTGGGGGGATGTCATTGCCTCGGGAGAAGGTGGTGGTGGGCTCCCGATGGCTCGCCCCACAGTCTGTCCTGGAGGCTCCACCTCTGCAGGACTGCTGTACTTGTCGGAGGAGAAGCTCGGAAGTGCCGTCTGGTGGTCAGCAGGCTCACCCGCCGATCCCTCGACGCCGCTCAGCAGGGGGGTAGGCAGGACCTACTGTGAAGGGGACCCTGCAGCGGTGCTAGGAGTGGGTGAGGCGGGGGCCTGCTTCTGCTGGTCCGTCTCGTCTGGTGGAGGGTCAACGCCACTCTGCAGGGAGAAGGGGCCACCTCTGAGGGTGTCCCGGAAATGGCGGCGCGTCCAGGTGAGGCCTGCTGTGGGGGGGGGGGGGGGGCGGTGAAGCCGGTGGCGCGTGTGGCGGCTGTCGAGGTGGAGCACCTGCGACGACATTTTGCCTAGCCGGCTTCCCCTCCTCCCATAAGTGCCATTGTTGGTGGTTCTGAAGGCCCTTCCTTGAGTGGAAGGACCTTGGGCACTTTTTGCACTGGTGCTGGAAGCGCTGGAGACGGGTGTTGGTGGTAACAATGGCCAGGCATTTGCTGTCATGGGCCTTTGGTCGTTGGCCCCGAACGTCACTGCATAACGAGCAGATGTAGGATGTGCTCGTTATTTTCGTTCGGTGCTCCACCCCCAGGTGCCGCTCCAGGAACTGCCGCCGTGACGTCTGTGTGGCCGGATTGTAAGTGACCCCGCAGCAGGGCTCGCAGCACTCGATGGCAAGGGGAAGTACACGACGAGTGTACCCCCGTCGTAATCCAGGGGGGGTCGCCATTGTCCTCGCTTGAGTCCGGGGTGGGACCTCCGGAGGCCATGGCCCTGCTATCACGCTAAGCGTGAGGGTCAGAGGGCCTCGGCATGGTCCTGGTGCTCGACGGCGACCATGGCAGGGCCAGGGAGTCCCCCGAATGCGGCTGCGGCAGGACCAGGGCAGCAGGCGAAGCACCGGCAGGCAGCAGGCACGACCGGACAGCAGGGCAGCAGTTCCTGGGGCAGCAGGACCAAGGCAGTAACATCATGGCAGCAGGCAGGCAGTCGGAGGTGGCCGAATTCGTTGAGCAGCAGTGGACAAGGGGTGGGTAGAAGTGAGGGAAAAAGACTCCGCTAAACTGGGCGGGTATCCGGTTGCCTCTACGAGTATCAGGGAGTGCAGGGCGGTCAAGCCACCACTACAAAAAGAGAATTCATTTGTCTCACAACTCGTGGGGCAGTACAAAGATACATGATAGTGTCACGTCGCCTCAGGGGTGTCTACAAGGTTTATTGAGGACTGAGCAACGGGGCTCTAACCAAGCGCGTTGGTTGGGCTTGTTTGCCAGAGCGGGGGCCCACACGCACTTCTTTCTTTTTTGTGGTGTGAGCATTCGCCTTGGCATACGACCCACTACAAGAAGTAGGTGGTAATATTCCTCCTCAACAAAAAAAAAGAGCATCGTCCTGATGCTGTAGAATTACTGCAAAAAAACCAAAACAAAGTAGCTTAAACAATGAAAAAGGGCGCCATTAATTAAATAGTACACGCGATAAGTTCACCAATGATGAGGCGATTGTCAGAGTACAAATAAAAAAAACAGGAAAAGTGGTCTTTTAGGAACGCGCAAAATAAGACTTCACGCGCACCACGTGAACTATGTCAGAGGTCGGTTGTCTTCGTTGTACCCGTCGTGATGACGTAGCGTCTGGAACCACTTCGTAGTTTACGTCACTCACGCGGCGTTATAGTTTATACGGAAAGAATTATCTGCTGAGCAACTTTTCGGAAAGACCACGGCGATGAACAGGGGTCTAAACACAAACTTGGTCTCCCGGACAGTAAGATACATCATTGTGACGCATATTGTAACGTCATGCATCAACCTGTGGCTGCTGACCAATGTGTAGCCGGGCAAGCTAGCGAGTTT